GAGCAAACTCCCCCCATGCCTGCAGAAAAAAGTTTTCAGTCAGTGTGTGCAACCTGCTCTAATCTACTGTATGTCAGTGAAACATGGACACTAACCTCACAATCGATACAAAAGCTATGGGAGTGGCACAAAGAGCCATGGTAAGGTACATGCTCAGCATTACAAGACAAGATAGAAAGACCTGCACATCGATTAGAAATCGAACAAAAATATAAAATGACATTAAGAGAGTAAAAGAATGGAAATGGAAATGGGCTGTCATATAGCAAGAAGAACTGATGGCAGGTGGATGAAGGTAATAATAGAATCGCCCCACTTGATAAAAAGTGTCCACAAAAGAGATCTAGAACAAGATGGATCAATGACACCAGTGAGTATTGCAGGTCCAGTTGGCAAAAGAAAGCTCAGGACTATATTGGTTGGAAACAGGAAGAAGAGGCCTTCACCCTGCAATGGATAGACAATGGTTAAGATGATGATGATGATGATGATGATGATGATGATGATGATGATNTTTTGGGGAGGTAAATAAGAAAAAAATCTACCTCTGCCTCCCATCAATTTGCCTCCTTGCAGCAAACAGCAAACAGCCTGTTTCAGTTTCAGTTTAGACTGATTAGCACAAGGAAAAAAAATCTGCCTTTGCCTTCCAGTAATTTGCCTCCTTGCAGTAAACAGCATGCTTCCGTTTCAATTTCAGCACAGCCTGATTAGCACAAGGAGCTTATTTTTTGGTTGGATCAGCCTCCCAACAATCAGCTGTTTCAGGCTGCAGGGATTGCCATTGGCTATTGGTGCCTCACGAGCTCCATTTTTGACTTCAGATCCTCGCCACCTGGAATGGGTGGGAAATGGGGCATGCAAAGGCCGCCTACAGAAAATACGTGCTTTGAAAAAGAACAGTAAAAAGACTGATCTCCAAAGGGTGATTCAAGAAAGAATGTGGATTAAAAGGCATAATTCATGTACCTTTTTTTCCTGAAAACCAACTGTCAAGATGCTATTCACATATTTAAGATATCCGTCATTTCTCAGTGGATATAGTCCAATGAGTGTTGTGATCCAGACTTTCCCTTCAATGGGCCCTGGCAAACATATCAAAGTTAAATGGAAAGGAATAATTCTGTCCAAAATGGCACCATATTCTATGTAGTGAAGAAAGACATTGACTTGTCTCCACTTAGAGAGGGCATCCCTGAGGAATGCTGTATGTCCAGTTTTGGATAACTGTTGTGCTTTAACAACACAAATTCCACTCTTGACAAGCAAAGGAGTCAAGGTCCTCATGAAATTTTCTCCATTTTCTGTGTCTGAAGCAAAAAGGCCAATCAAGGTCCATCTGAAATGGAGGAGCATTTGGATGATTCCTGTGTAGATGATCCCTTTTTGGGGGAAAAGCCAATGCTAAAAGGGCAATTGAATTTTAGCGTTGAACGAATCTGAAAGTAATTCAAAACTGATCTGAAAAAACAATGAAGAATACAGTGTTATATCTGGGATCAGAGCAATTGATATGCGTAAATGAACCTGCTAGTAGATGATACCACCATTGGAGATACTTTTTGAATAGTAAAGATGGTAGAAAGAGCTTTACTTCTCTTCAAGTAATTTACAATATACAGGTGAAACTCAAAAAATTAGAATATCATGCAAAAGTTCATTTATTTCAGTAATGCAACTTAAAAGG